ATGCGCCAACGCGAATCCCTTTCTCGTCTCGTTCCTCCAACTGATGGATGAAAAAACTGCATTACGACTTTTGACGTCCACGATAAAAAATGTAATTGTCACGGCTACGGGGGAACCGATGGGCTGGTGCATGTTTTAGTTATTTCGTGCGAGCTTTCAAAGCTTACGAAGAGTCGCGAAAAAAGACAATCCCCGTGAAAATATTCGCACCAGTCACTCACGGGCTATGCGAGGGATTTCCGGGAATAAAAAAAAAAACACAACATGCCGTGTCCCCGGCGTATGTGTGAACGAAGTTGAGCTTCCACAAAAAAAAAAATTTTCGTTCGATACGCAAGAGCAAGAAAAAAAGGGCACGCGAAGCTTTCGGAAGAAGAAAAGCTCGGCGCGCGCCTCCATACTGGCAGCAGCTAGCGCTTTTTTTCTCCTCCCACTCTCTCCGTTTCATCTTAATCGCGAATAACCCTCTTTTTCCTGGATAATAAAACAAAGAGGAAGGGCGATTTTTTTTCCCCTCGGTCTTAAAATTCAAGGAAGCTGCGCGTCGTAACGAGTCGTAATTTCGCATGTAGAGAAGCTAAGGCTCTACTCTCTCTCTCTCTCTCTCTCTCTCTCTCTTCCTTTGCTGTGCCATTACCGTGTGCCGTATAACGAGGCTCCGGGGTAACAATGACGCTCTATTTGGCAAAGGACTCGGCAAAGGAGCCCCGCGAAGACGAGGAAAGCGGGAGCTATTGACGCGGTTTACGCCGGATTCGCTTGCACTCGCCGTCGAAGGGATGCGCACCGTCATTATACACGGGCTGTCTTAATTAGTGCGACATATCTCCACACGTACAATTACGCTCGCTGCGTTGACAGTGTGTACCTATACTCCTGTGTATGTGATGCACGAGAAGTTTCGGGGTACGCCGTTTAGTGCGCGGTCATTTCTAGAGCCCCTTTGTCATGGCATACATAGCATGTACAATTTAGGTATATATCATAGAATAAGTATAATAAGTAAATATGTTGGCCATGGCTTTGAATTTTTAAACATGTTATCCAATTCGCGATTCACCGAGATCTCGGAAGGACGATTTTTATTACCCCCATAGCTTGTGATGTCGCGTTTACTCTGTCTCTTTGTATTCATNTGCACAGTTCACTTTAAAACTTGATTTTAAGATTATTTGACCTCTTAATAATAATTATAACTATTTTATTCGCAATCAGTGGGTTGAATTACTTATAATATAAAAAACGCCTAATTATCGATAAATATTCTAATTCAGAAGTCTGTTGATTGGTATCTATAAGTAATAAGGTGAGAGGATAGATCAGCGTGCTGCGTAGCACAATCGATAATGTCCCGACTACCAATCTGAAGGTTGAGGGTTTAAACTATACATACGACAGTATAGTTACAGTTACCGTATATACGTCTTTGTCGATACATTTAGTGCCCGGTGGCTCAGTTGACTAGGTCGTGGGTTGGCATGAAGGCGACTGCTGTTCAATGCCCGGCCAGTGCAACTTCTTTGGGCAAGTAGATCTGTGATTTCTTACAGGTTTTTGTTTATCTTCATGAAGAGAATAAGCAACCTTCTCAAGCGAAATTGCCCAACTTTCCCCTATCTCTTATCCAGTAATGGGAGGCCTCCCTATCCCTCTTTCTCTTCTTCTCTCAAGTGCTGAGTGCCCAGAGAAGTACCCTTTATAGATGCCAGACGTATAGCACTATAATTTAAAAAAAACCAGTGGACAATGGATGCTTGGATACCCAAGTATGAAGTAATACTTCTACAAAATCATATGGTATACAACATAGTTATCAATATAAATATACCTTCAACAAAACAATATTATGTACAATGCTGGTGCAATTATCGTTGAAATGAATACCTATGTTAGTTGGGTGTGGTTTCACTAAGTATTGTAATATTTGATAACTAAATAATCAAAAATAATATATTATGGCACAATACAATACAAACAATAAATATAGGATAGCCAATGTTAGACTATGCAGTTTTATCAAATCTTCAATAATCAATGATTTAAAAACAACTTCCTATCGCCTACGCTGGTTACATCCCTAACGTCACACTCACATCTGTCACATACGCTTACACTTATTCCTGCTCCATACTTAACACCTAAAATGTAACTGTATCCAACAAATTAAGACAAACCATTCTCTGGTACCACTTTCTTCAATAGCACAGTATTGCATGCCTGTAAATGTCCCTTCAAGCCATTCATCACACATAGGTTTTTTAAAAAGAAATTATTCAAACATCAAAAGTATACTCAAAATAGTATAAGAAATACCCAAAAAAATCGCAGATCGCTTAACTGTACTCTTTTCATATGTTTAATTTAAAAAATTGCAATTTAACGTTTAACCTTATGAAAAAATTACTTAAAATTGCATTTATAAGATCTGTACGAATCTCCAAATTTTTGTTTACATGAAAAATTACTTTTAGATAAACATGTCCATTTTTAAATAAATCTATAATTTTTTTTTAACAGCAACGGAGAAGAGCACCAGACTTTTCACTGCATATTTCCTCTCATGTGGTTGTTTACTGCCCATCAAAGGATGTTTTACATAAAAAAATTCTGAAAGCATTATTATCGTGACAACAGAAAACATCCTATTGCTGTGCTATGAGCATTCAGGTATATCAATACAACAAAATGACGTACTCTCATTGGCCTACTCTATACAATAAATTATTCACATATGAAATACTTATTTATAAAAGTGCAAATTTTTCCTAACATAGATCTGACAACACTATAGAATGAAATTAATTCTTAAGGTGGTTCTTTCATGAAATGATTATGAACTGAATGGCATGAAATCTTAAGGAATTATTTATTGAGTTACAATACACTACCTCTCAAAGTTTCAGAGTAGGCTGACGAATATAAACTCAAGAAAATGATTAATGAAAATTAAATTCTTAACATGTGCTCTTATGGTCACTAAGCATTCTTTTACCGAAAGTTGTAGCCTAGTTATTTATTTACTGAACGTAATTAAGTAAAAAAATGAACAACAAAGCTTATCCATTTCAAACATACTAATATCTCGAAATATATGTGCTCACCGACTTAATCAAAAGATATTAAAAGAAATACAGTCATAGATTTTCGTTTCCTGTGTTGACAGCATAGGTAAGCCTCTACTGCTGGTATTTTGAGGTTAATCGCGAATTTGAGATAATCATTCCTATAAACTTTCATATCATATATTATGATTTGAAATTTTTAATCAGTACTTAATTTGCCTTAATAAAAAATATAAAAAAAAAAAAAAAAAACAAAAAAAAAACAAATGAAACGTACACGTAGTTTTAACGCGTATTGTGTGTGCTGCACTGCGTATGCCCATCGTGCAAAACGTCAACTACATTTGCCATCTGATTTATGTACAAAGGTTGCACAGCTCAATATTGCATCAACGTAATTGCGGTACTGGTCATTTTGCGCGCGCGTGTGTATAAATCTATGTATGCTCAAAGTTATGGGGCAACGAGTACGCACGAAAGATGACACAGTGGCAGCAGCTCGCGCGTGCCATTGATCCGCAGCTAAACAAACGCGTTTATCGTCCGAAATAATTAATCGCTTTATTTGGGCGTTTCACTGCTGATTGGCGCATTTTCGGCGGTTTTAATAATCTAATTGCGGAACGGGGGGGGGGTTCAGTTTCTCCTGATCGGCCAAATGTTGCCCCTCCACCCTCTGACATTATACTCCCGGTGTGCGCGAAACAACAGCGTAATCCTTTAAGTGGGTCTCTTTTTCGCACGATCCTTTGCCTCTAGCGTGTTTTGTTAAGCTTTTGATTGCACGGATAATGAATTGTGTTTGTATGCGAGCTGGTGGTGTACTTTGATTCAGGTCGTCGAAACGAGAGCGACAATTAAATTCATCCACCTGCAGTGGTACGGGTGTCGAGTCAAAGCACAAATTACAATACGCTTTTAAGAGACTTACGTAAATCACGTGTGTGTACAATAGGAAAAAAAAGAAGAAAAAAAATGAAACTCCAACCGCTAGCTGTTGTTTTAATGCTGTTGAACTTGGCTGGGAGTTGCTACATTTTTCCTGCAGGTATACAATTTAATGAGCGTTTTTGTACGCATTAACTTTTTTCCATTCAGTGTCTTATGGAGTTCTTGTTTTTTGATACTATTAATAACGGGTCAACAGAACTATCGATTTTGTCTGGATATACTCACTTTGCACCACTGAAAAAGTTTTTGGATGGAATTTAATGCCTAGATTCTGTAGTGAAATATGAATAATGTTGTCTGACTCGTTTAGGCTGTAACTACATTCATTGTTAATTTTAGTGTAAAACTGAAACTTGCATAGTCCAAGTCTTTGTGCCTGGAGATTTTAGGTTCTGATTTTGATTATGAGTTTTAAAAAGTGATTCTGTGATACATCTTATTCATTTCGTCTGACCATTTTTTGTGTATACTACTTACAATTTCAACGGTCTCAAAGTGCCAAAGCCCTATTTAAGATTATGTTACTTCTTATTTTTGGTAGCACTCATAAAAATGTAATTTGAAGAAATATTATTATGTAAAAAAATGATACTACGTGTCTGACTATTTTTAGTTTTTACTACTGATTAAGTTGAAACTATATCGAAAAAAAAAAACAACTAAATAAACCATATGTACTTCGTCTGACTATTAAAAGATCATACTACTGAATGAGTTGAAATCTTACGAATAAGACAAAGAACTCGAACCAACAAATCTCTCTGGTTACGGCTGACTATTTCCGAACTATACTACTCGAAGCACTTCTTACTTTACTGTCTAATCCCCTTTGCAAACAAATAAAAAATACTAGTCTTTAAAAAATTATTCAAGGTAAAACTTTTCTATTTGTCTTGATGAAGCAAAAAAATACAACAATGTTATCTGTTAAAACTGTATAAAACACGAATTGGTAATAAACCTCGAACCTTATCGTTTCTGTTACAGAAAAGCCAGATCCCTGCGACAAGTTGAACTGCACTCTGGGCTCGCAATGCGTGCGCAGCAAGGATGGAACAGAGGCGAGGTGCGAGTGCATGGAATCGTGCCCAAACTTTGGGGACCATGAGGGTGCGGGCCCGGTCTGTGGTAGCGACGGTGCCGACTATCCAAGCCTATGCGACCTGAACCGTGTCGCCTGTTCCAAATCAGCCAACATTAGCATTGCCTTTCGCGGCAAATGCGGTAAGTTTATACGAGCAAAAATATCTACGAGCACTTGTTGCATTTTTGTTTCCATAATTACTATTTCAAGGGGTGTGTGTGTGTTTTTTTTTATCAATTTGGGTCTGAAATAATAGTTCTGTATAGAAATTTGGACTGTGTAACGATGAGTAATTACACGCGTAACTAACCATCAGAGATTATTCAACGGATGATAATCGTATGCGAAAATTCATCAAACAATCACACACACGTGACAGTCGAGTAACTTCGTTCAGGTGGATTATCATTAATTTGCCCACCTCATCAAACTAGGCATACAAATTAGTAACCTCCAATGGGACAAATTCGAGCAATTGCTTAACGAACCTCACCCCTCATTTATTCCTGTTCGATTGAGACTTTGGTATACGCCATCCCATTGCATCTGGCCGTGAATATTTTGCACCTTTTGAATGCACGTAAATAAAGACACTTCGTATCCGGGACATCCGACGACTCGTTACGAACTCTGCTCCCTCCATTATTCGTGAGAAAAAAAAAATGTGGAGTAAGAATAGGGTGGACGGCAAAAAAGAGTCAAACTTACCGTCCCCTGATATTATTACAGAGTATACCTCGCGAATGGCAAATACAAAAAAGAACGTAGCCGTGTCAGTAGTAGATGAGCGCTCGAGGCGACGGAAACGTCGGTATTATAAAGCAAGGCGGGGGGAGGGGGGGAGGAGGAAGGAGGGAAAGAAAGAAAGAAAGAGAAAAAGGCGTGCGTGTATGGATATTTCGCGAAAATGTAATGTATCGAGGGGCCATAGATTTCCCGAGTTCGCTCTCCCGCTCCCCAGAGCGCACGATCGCGCCCGCGGCAGCAGTAACAGTTCCAGTATCGAAGGCTATTATTCAGCCGGCGCACAATAAGGCCGGCTACACGTTCCTCCTCCTCCCTCCTAAAACCAATTTCTCGTACTTCCCCCTCCCCACCTCTCTATCTCTGTCTCTGTGCTCCCCTCCCCCTCATCCCTTGGTGCTGGTATACGTGACACAGGTGCGCGCCAATACTCGCCCGCGTGCAAAAAAGAGGAGGGAAGAAAATCCGGATGGGGGGGGGAGAGGACGGGATTCCCCGGAAAAATGTAGGTGTATATGTGTACGATGAACAAGAACAAACGCGCTTCGCGCAAAAGTGCACTCTGTGTACGATGCACTGGTACGGCGCTTTTTTTTCAATTTTGACTTTTCAAATGGGATAGGCATTTTGTGGAGGCCGACGGTGTACGTACACACGTGCGCGTTTGCGCGACGCGCGTTTAATCACCATCGCTGCTGTTCTGTTTTGCGCTTTGCTTTGCCCTTTCGAATGCTTTTTTGATGAAGATTAAGCGGCTCTGCGAATATTAATTGCACCCGGTCTTCCTCTGTGGACACCGGCATGTGTAGCCAGATCGCGTATCAAAAGATGAAAAAGTCTTTGAAATACCCTATTTTGTACTGTTTTTTTCTTTTTTTTTTTTTTTTCATCCGACACACATATTTACGTGGAAAAGCTATAAAGAAAATGACCTTTTGAAACGCGGTACCGAAAAAAAGCCTTTTTTCCCTTTATTGCTTTGAAAAATAAAACCCTCCCATTAGAGTAGCAAAAACGCATCATCAACCCCCTCCCCCTAAAAAATACAGTCACCAACCCGTGCGTATCGATTCTCCCATCATTGACGCGTCGAATGGCAAAAATACAAAAACAAAGCCCCCCCCCCGTCCTCTCGCCCGACCGCAACACACGCGTCGCGTCCTCCCACCCCTTTTTTGGGGGTATAATTGAAATTTCGTTCGCACGTACACGGACGAGCGCGCGGGCGTGTCGCGTCATTTAATACGTCGTTTTTCACGGCTCGTTGGACCGTCGATCCTGACAGCCGATGGAAATACGAGATGCGCGCATAGGTACGAGCACGCACGCCCGAGCGAGAGACAATGACAAATTAGCCCACTGTCGCTAGCGGGAGACTGACCCCTTTCCTGTACCTGCTCCCCGGGACGGGAGACACGCGACACTGCGACAGCGACCGGGGAATTCGTGTAAGTGGAAATGCAGGTCTCACATGTATATATGTACTTACGCCTGAGACGTTGAGGACACGAAGCCGGAGAAAACAGGACGAAAGGAGCTCGGGTAGAGTCGTATACGTGAAACGTCCATTGGATGACTTTTCGCGGTTCTTTTAGCTCAGCACTTACCTGTTCCGATAATCTTTGTTGTTGAACGAAAAAAAAAAAGAAATAGTTAAATTAAGGATTTTTTTCCGCGTTCATAGTAAAAAATTTAATTAAACGACAATCGCTTGGGGCACCGAGGCGTCGAAGCAAGCCCCGGCCCTCATGCCACGGTACGGATTAAACAAAGCGTCCCACCGGAGGAAAAGAAAAACTGCCTTCTCGGAGGCGCTTTACGCAATTTTACTCGTAACCCGTGAAGAGGGACGGAAGAAATCGCATTATACCCAAGGAGACCCGGGCTAATCTCCTCCCCCCAGCTTTCCTCGTTTACGTGCCTGCACACCCACGCGCCACCTCTCGAGCCTCCGTTCTTTTTTTTCACCTGCACCGTCTCGCGAAATCCCCCGAGATCTCCCGCCGAGATAATGGAAAAGCGCCACTACCGGGCGGCCGAGAGGAACTACTGCCAAGACGAAAATAACCCACGGCCCGGTGGTGCTGCAGTTGAGCAACGCAGTGTATATAATATAATACACTGTCAGTATTACACCCTCCCCTAAAGTGCGACCCCAGCTGCGATGACTATCAAGATTTTTCCCCCTTTTATCTTTTTTTTTTTTTTTTTTTTTCCCCCCCTTCTTTTTTTTTTAATTTTTTTTTTTTTTTTTTTTTTTTGCTTAGTTGTAACTTTAGCCACGGAACCTCGTTTCAAGCACAATTTCTTAATGCGATAAAGAAAACAAGCCAAAGCAAACTGCTTGTAATACCACCGCGAAAAATTCATGGAGCGACAACATCGACGCGCCATCAGCTTAATAGAAAGGCTTCCGAGGCAAAACACACAAAAGCCTTTTACGCGCGCTCGTAGTTCTCAACTGCAATTAATTAATTCAAGCGACACACGCGTGGAGTAAAATATACAAGGAACAACGTTACGGGCGTACGCCAAACACACTGGACTTAACGACTAAGCTCCCCTGCACACGGACACCCGTTGCGTGCAAGCCTATTTAGCCGCGACCACTCGCAAGAGACCCGGTGTATACGTGGATCGATCGGTAGCCAGAGGAAAGGCAGAATGGGCGCAGAGCCTTGTTAATTAGACCGGCGCTGATAATATAGGCAGTCATCGTGTCTCCAGCCGGTGATGACGAGGGTGGATTTTCGCTCCAGACGGGGAAAATCGTCCTTTTAATGGGGCGCTCTGACGGACACCGGCGGCCACTCTTTGAAATTCTCTAATTGCCGTGCTGGCTTACAAATCGTTCGGAGAACGAGGACGAACACACGTGTGTCGAATGACCCTCTCTCTGCGCGTAGATTCTTGGGGATTTTGTGAGATTAGAGTGATTGCTCTTTGGAATGGGATCCTATTTTAACTGTCTTTTTCAATATGCAGTACTCGATTGCGCAGTTCGAAAAGTGGTCGGTTTTAATTTATTTAGTGGTATCGAATCAACATGGATGGTCTGATTTTTTTTCATCCACAATATCAATACTTGTACTGTTGATCGGGTCGTAGCTCCCAATACAACCACTCGTCCGCACCGATGAAAACGTCTGACGATTCGTTGACTTGTTCTACTCGAAAATCCATCCACCAGCTCGTTCCACTTGTACGTGACCAATTCATCTGACTCTCTTGGCTTAAATTATTCCCAAACCTCCTGATGATCTATAATTGCTGTTTAAAACAAAAAGTATTGAATTTCAAGTACTAGATAATAATTTATGTAACGGTGCACGCACTTACTTCAACGAGAACTCGGCTAATACAGCCCAAAACTATAAAACGCACTGCACTCCTGGGCAGTGGACATCTTCGGGGCACGCGACGTGACAATGATGCATCATTCTATAAAAACAGCCAACCAACTCGGGCGCCATCGATCATTCGGTGAAAATAAAACAAAGTCCCGGGCTTCGAGAGAAAAAAGAAAAAAAAAAAAGTACGAATTATTGTTCGGACATACCGCGTACCTCGTACATTCCCCCCCCCCCCTGCACGTACATAAACGCACACGTGAGTTCGACGCTCGAATGGATTGTGGAAGCGCGGGCTCGGAAATTAATGTCCGAATCCTGTTGGACTACGCGCGACCGGTGTAATTCTTACCCCCGCGCGTGCACACACGTACCGCGGCATCGATCCAATGCAGCGGGCGAATGGCGACACTGCAGTTAAATTCAGATGGGTGGGTCATAATCACTTTTCAGGGGCGTCAGCTCGTGATGTAGGAGCCTCGTCAAACTGCAACGCGCTGTCCCTCCGTCTCGCGTCCTCTCTTTGTGTCCATGTACGCGCGCACGTGTATTTATGAAGGAGGGAAAAAGAGAAAGTACGAGCCGCTCATTAACCCGAACCCTCTTCGTGTTTCGTAACCGCAAGCCGGTGTGCGGTTCGAGTTGGAAGTTCCACTGGTACTTAGTGCCATTATAGGCTGAAGTGGGAGGAGAAGGAGTATTGGTGCACGAGATGGGCTCGGCTTGGAGGAAAGGCACTAGCGCCGGGTGCCGCTTAACGGAGATGACGATCGTTCCGTTTTAGCGAAAGTGCGACGAGGATGATGAGAATTGTGATGCTGCACGTGAGTGTGTGTGTTTTTTTTATCTTTGTTTTTCTATTGGGCTTCGGTAATGTCAAAGTTTTTTAAACTTTCATATACATACCTCGAAATTTGCAGATTTGCAGATATGGAATTTCAGTGAGCTGGTTCATGCTTATTTTGTATCCAATATCTTGTTAGATGGGTATTGCGTGTGCTTTTGATAATGAAATTGAGGTAGACGGTGTCAAAATGAAAATTCTA